CGGAGTTTCGCTCTTGTTACCCAGGCTGGAGTGCAATGGCGCGATCTCGGCTCACTGCAACCTCCACCTCCCGGGTTCAGGCAATTCTCCTGCCTCAGCCTCCTGAGTAGCTGGGACTACAGGCATGCGCCACCATGCCCAGCTCATTTTTTGTAGTTTTAGTAGAGACGGGGTTTCACCATGTTGACCAGGATGGTCTCGATCTCTTGACCTCGTGATCCACCCGCCTCGGCCTCCCAAAGTGCTGGGATTACAAGCTTGAGCCACCGCGCCCAGCTTTTTTTTTTTTTTTTTTTTTTTTAGACAGAGTCTCACACTATTGCCCAGGCTGGAGTGCAATGGCACGATTTTAGCTCACTGCAACCTCTGCCTCCCGGGTTCAAGCGATTCTCCTGCTTCAACCTCCCGAGTAGCTGGGATTATAGGCACCCATCACTATGCTCAGCTAAGTTTTTGTATTTTTAGTAGAGACAGGGCTTCACTATGATGGTCAGGCTGGTTTTGAACTCCTGGCCTCATGATCCGCCTGCCTTGGCCTCCCGAATTGCTGGGATTACAGATGTGAGTCACTGTACCTGGCCTGTGGCTCACACTTTTAATCTCAGCACTTTGGGAGGCTGAGGTGGGGGTATCACTTGAGCCCAGGAGTTTGGGACCAGCCTGGGCAACATAGCGAGACCCATCTCTAAGAAAAGGAAAGAATTCACTGGGCATTGTGGCATGCACCTGTAGTTCCAGGTACTTGGGAGGCTGAAGTGGGAGGATCTCTTGAGCCCAGGAGCTTGAAGCTACAGTGAGCTATGATCACACCACTGCACTCCAAGCTGAGTGTCAGAGCAAGACCCTGTCCCTCCAGAAAGAGGAAAAGGAAGGAAGGAAGAGAAGACAAGAAATAATGTTCTTCCCAAAGTCATCTCTCATGTACTTGGACCTTATTTTGGGGAGCACAACAGAGGATGGTGACCATGGTAAGAGGGACCACCCTAGACCCATGCCCACGCTGGTGAGACCAGCCTGTCCGTGAGGAAGTCCACACAGTGCCATGTAGCACTGTCAGTGTTCACTCAAGAAACGGTCATTGTGGAGAGTGTGGTGGTACAAACGTAATAACTACTGAGATTAAATCGGCCTCTACCACTCAATGTTGCTTTACGTTGGTCACTGGACTTCTCTAAGAGTCTTGGTAGCCATTTCTGAAATGGGGACCATGCCAGGCATAGTGGCTCATGCCTATAATCCTAGCACTTTGGGAGGCTGAGGCAGATGGATCACCTGAGGTCAGGAGTTCGAGACCAGCCTGGCCAACATGGTGAAACCCTGTCTCTAAAAAAAACAAAAACAAACAAAAAAAATGAAATGGGAACCATGATAACACCCACCTGATGAGGTGTAAGGAGGCACGCAGGCCATGAGGCAGGTGGTCAGGCCCTGGTGAGCTGCGGCTCTCGTGCCCGTGGGAGCCCTTCTTTCCTTGGTTTGGGTGGGAGGTGCTGGGTCCTCTCAGGCTCTGTGCCCGTGATGGACACACCCCAACCATAGCCCAGGGAGGTGTGTGTGTGTGTGTCTGTGTGTGTGTGTGCGCGCGCGCACGTGTGTGTGTTGGGGGCGGTGGCTTTTCTTGAAACCTGGCTGAATCTCCTCTTTCCTCTGTGGCTGGACAGGGAGTGGCAGGCCTGGCATCTGTCCACAGACCTCCTGACAGTGGAGGCTTGTGACGAATCTGGCTGGGTCCCAGTGTTTCCGGCTGGGTCTCCTGTTGCCCTGGGCTGCCCTTGGAGGAGCCCCGTGAGTCAGGCCACACCGAGGGCAGGAATGCATGTGTCTGCTGCAGCACCTGATGCCCCATTCCTAGGCCACACTCGGGGTGCTGCATTGGGGCTGGTGGATTGTGGGTGTGCAGGAGAGGCTGTGCTTGTCTCGCTATGGGCTGACTTCTCGGGGGACAAATCTATGCTTTATGCCCAGGAATATGGCTGAGGTAGGCCCCCAGCAACTCCTCTCACCCCCAGGGGCATGGGTGACCTCTGGAACCCCTGGCCACTGGCCACTGAGGCTGGAGGGTGCAGGACAGCAGGGCTGGGCCTGGGGAGGCCAGGAACTCAGGGATGGTGGGCACCTGGGAAAGGGATTCAGAGTTCCGCGTGGGACCTCAACCCCCGGCCTTCTCTTTCTTTCGCTTCTGTGTTGTCCTTTGTCCCCTGTGCGTCTCTTATGGGTCTTGAGCTGTGTGTGTGTTGAGAGGAGAGACTGAAGAAGGGAAGGAGAGGTGGGGGGAGGCCCGGGGGAAGGACTTCAGCTGTTCTGTCTGCTTTCTTTCTCCTTTGACTTTGTTCCAAATCCATCTCTCACTGTCCTCTCTGTGCCCAGCCTCTCCTGTCCATCCATCTGTCTGTCTCTGGGGAGGGAAGGGAAAGGGGTCCCACTGCCCCAGGCCCTGGGCTTCCATCTCCTTGGGAAACCTGAGAGCAATGTTTGCCCTCATTCTCCCCCTGTGTCCCTGCCCTGGCACTCTTCCCGGCTGGCCCCCAGCCTTGGAGATAAGTATGTCCTTGACATGCTAGTCTGAGGGAGGAGGCAGAGCTCCCCCCACCCAACCTCAAAGGAAGACTACAAGCTCTTTTTCACATCTTTTAGGGAGCATCTAAAAGGCACCCCCCTTCCCTCACCTGCTGGCAACAGCTTTAGGAGGGTGTGTGGCTGAAGAGGGTCTCAGGACACCTTCTACCCCTTTCTTCCAAAACCCTCCCCTTGGCCTCAGAGGGCGGCACTCCCTGACGGTCATTATCACCCCAAACCCTCGGAGGAGGAACAGGAAGTATCCAGCCCTTGATCCTCACCCCTCCCTGGAGGCCGTAGGCCCACTTTCCACTTCAGTCCCTAGTAGGGGCTGGGCGGCCCCTGCTTCGCTCCAGGCGCCTCTCCACTCCACTTAGGCCCAGGCCCCGCCCCTCCCCGCAGGGACCCCCGGTGGGTGATGGGCAGCCCCAGGCCCGGCGCGCCTTGACCCCGCCGCGCCCCTCTCACCTCTCACAGATCCGGAGCGGAGCAGCCCCCCCATGCTGTCTGCAGACGATGCCGAGTACCCGCGGGAGTACCGGACCCTGGGGGGCGGGGGGGGGCGGGGGCAGCGGGGGCCGGCGCTTCTCCAACGTGGGGTTGGTGCACACGTCCGAGCGGAGGCACACGGTGATCGCGGCCCAGAGTCTGGAGGCGCTCAGCGGGCTCCAGAAGGCGGACGCCGACCGCAAGCGCGATGCCTTCATGGACCATCTGAAGAGCAAGTACCCGCAGCACGCCCTGGCCCTACGAGGCCAGCAGGACAGGATGCGAGAGCAGGTGAGTGGGCGACCGGCTGCGGCTGCGGCTGCGGACGCGGCCAGCGGACAGGGGAGGGGGTCTGACCCCGCGCTCCGTGCTCCCAGGCTCATTCCAACTCTGGGAGGCATCTGGGGCGGAGAGGGGAGAAGGGGAGAAGTTGGGAGCTGTCCCTCCAGGGCAGTGGCCCGGGTTGGCCTTTTCTGGAGCCTGGGGAGGAAGGGGTGGGGGCTTGGCCTCCAGACCTCTCCCTGCAGTCCGGAAATTGAGAGCGTGTGTTGACTTAAAGAGCCGAGTCTCTTTAACTCAGGCTGTTTGGGCAGAACCCTTCTGGGAGGAAAGGAGAGGAGAGCCTTGGGGACTGATGTTCTGTGCCTGAGTCCATCTGGTGGTGAGATTGAGATTCTGGGGCCCGCACCTCTGTGATACGGTCCCTAAGAGAGGGTGGGGCCTTGAGAGCCTTAGTAGGCTGGGTCTGATGTGTCCCCAGTCTCTGCAACCTGTAAGAATGGAGCCCGGAAGTGGAGCCTTTGATCTTTCGTCCCTGTTCCACCCCGTGACTTGCTGGGTGACTTGGAGCTGGAGGCCTCCTCTCTTCGTTCCTGGGTCTCTCACCTGCCATCAGTAGGGCTTAGAGAGGAGGCTCAGGGTCTGTCTCTGGACCAGGACCTGTCTCTTTCTATAGCAGGTGGGATACTTCTTTTTTCTTTTTTTTTTTTTTTGAGGCAGAGTTTCACTCTTGTGCCCAGGCTGGAGCACAATGGCATGATCTTGGCTCACTGCAACCTCTGCCTCCCCGGTGCAAGCAATTCTCCTGCCTCAGACTCCCGAGTAGCTGGGATACAGACATGCGCCACCACACCCCACCAATTTTTGTATTTTTAGTAGAGATGGGATTTCTGCATGTTGGTCAGGCTGATCTCGAACTCCTGACCTCAGGTGAACCACCCGCCTTGGCCTCCCAAAGTGCTGGGATTACAAGTGTGAGCCACCATGCCCAGCCCAGAATGCTTCCTTTTTAAACCTCTCCCAGACCCTCCGGGTCCTGAATGCATCTCTCCACCCACGGGTGAGCTTCTTGTCTGTAAGAACGTGCTTTCTGGGTCTAGCATCCTGTGTACAGTTCTGCACCGGTGAGGTGCCTGCATGGTTGCTGCATATTGGCTACTGAGACTCAGCCATCGTCCCCTCCTGGTGAAGGGACTGAGGGAAGGCACGCACATCCCATCAGCAGCCTTTCAGTCCAACCTGGGGTGTGTGTCAGTCCCTGCTCCCACACCTGTCTTGCACTGTCTCCCTTTTCCGGGTTCTACTGGATGTAGCTGGGGATGGGGAGGAGTGTCCCCACTCCCATCCTTGGGTGCAGGGAACAAGACACACTGGCACATTTCTGGTACCTTATCTGTCCCCTAGTGCCACTTCCAATTCTGTCTGGCTTTTGCCTTTCCCCGGCTCCAAAGTCCTTCTGGGAGCAGGATGCAGATCAGGATTAGAAAGAGTTGATGAAGATGTGGCCCTCACCCTCAGGGAGCCCCTCTCATTGGGTTCTTCCTGTGTACACTGGCTTGGGGAGAAGGGCAGGGGTATTCGTCATCTAGCTGGGGAGGGGAACAACCAGTTGGGAGGGGTTTAGAGGACAGAAGATCAGGTAGGCAGTCCTGATCAGAGAAGGCTTCCTGCAGGAGGAGGTATCTAAACTGGGCTTAGAAAGATGAAAAGGGTTTGCATAGGGCTAGAGGAAGAGAATGTTGTTTTCAGGAGTGGTGGGGATGTATGGCATGAGCATAGGCCTGGGTTGGTTTGGAAACTGGCACAGAGGTGCACTTGGCTGGTGAAAAGGCTCAGGTTGGAGGTAGTGGGACGTGTGGGGGCAGACTGAAAAAGTGGGGCAGATGGTGGTGGCTAGGATGGCTGTGGTTGCTTTGGGATGGGGAATAGGAGGGGAGAAGCGGGGCTGGAGGCAGGGGAAGGAGAAGACAAAGACAGTGTCTCAGGGGCGATGAAGGGGGAAGAAGGGTGATGGGGATTGGGGGAAGACCAAGCCCAAGCTGCCTGGGCCTAGAAGGCAATGACAGAAAAAGCTGGGTGACAGGGAGATGTTGGTGCCTTGGAGAGAAACAGGAGGGCTGGAGGGAAATGTTTGGGGGAAGGGGAGAGGAATATGAGGAGATGGGTTGAGGCATGGGCAGGGCATTCTTGGGATGCCTTTAAGGTGCCACATACACCAGTCAGGACTCCAAAGAGGCTGAGGCTTCAGGAGGAGAGTTGAGCACAGTCACAGCAGATACGAAGTGCACCCGGGATGCGGAGGCCATCAGGGCAGAATGGGGTCTAAGAAGGGATAAAGCCATGATGTTTGGGGAAAGGGGACCAGGAGTGTTCTGTATCCACGAGGAAGTCCCAGGGGAAAAAGGCCCCTGGACAAGGGGCCAGCAGGAGGGTGACCAGCACTTCAGAAGTCCAAAGGGATGGGGAGAGAGAAACCAACATGGCTACTGGCCAGGATCTGTGGGCGCGGAGGGTACCGAGAGCTTGCGTCTCCTGGTGTGGCGAAGTAATGGGCAATTTCAGGGGTTGTGGAGATTGGGGTTGGTGGAGGATCGGGACCTATTGTGGGGAGATTTGGCCAGGAAAGGGATGAAACAGCTGGGTGGAGCTTCCAGGGGCAGCAGGCCTGGGAGGGAAGGTGTAGGCATGTCGGAGGGCCTCCTGTGTTCTGGCATGTTCAGCACAGAGTGTGGAACTCAGTGAATACTTAGGAAATGAATCAAAGCCCAGCCACCCACAATTTCATTCCTTTCTTTCACTCATTCGCTTCCCCCCTTAGAGTGTAAGTGGGCAGGATCTATGCCCCATTCACTTGCCAGGGAATGCTCGGTGCCTAAGCATGGCGCCAGCTCGGGCAGTGTTTGCGGAATGAATGAGAAATGAGGGAGGAATGAATCTGAGGACACCAAGAGGAAAGAAGCCCGTGGGAAACAGGTCCTAGAGGAATCTGGAAGGATGGTCTTAGGTGTGGGGTGGCCTTGGAGAAGGAAGGGGGTGGAGTCACTTCCGCTGAGAAACAGGAGAGAAATATGTGCTGTAGGACTGAGACAACTGGAGGGAGGTTTCTCCTGCCAGCGGTCCCCATTTCTGTGAGGTAGGTAGTGACACCTTCAGTGAGAAGGGAAAGGGAGATGGTAAGGAGCGGCTTCCTTGCCAGTATGCAGAGGGGCAGCCTAGAATTGGACACGAGGCGGGGCATAGTGGCTCACACCTGTAATTCCAGCATTTGGGAGGCTGAGGCAGGCGGAGTGTTGAGCCCAGCCCAGGAGTTTGAGACCAGCCTAGGCAATGCGGCTGTCTCTACAAAAAATGTTGTTTTAATTAGCTGGGCATGGTGGTATGCCCCTGTAGTCCTAGCTACTCAGGAGGCTGAGGTAGGAGGATCACTTGAGCCCAGGAGATTAAGGCTGCAGTGAGCCGTGATCATGCCACTGCACTCCAGCCTGAGTGACAGAGTGAGAACTTGTCTCAAAAAAAAAAAACAAAAAAAAACTGGAGATGCGGATTTCAGGAATGTCTGATAGGGAAGGCCCTGCCCTGGGCTCAGGGAACCCCCAGGTCTAACATGAAAGGCAGCCATCCAGAAACAGAGCAGGGCTCTAGTTAGAGAGAGATCCAGCCTAAGTAAGGGACTTGCCAGCGTCACTAGACCCGTCTGCAGTATGAGCTCTGTGCCAAGGCTTGCCCCAGGAGTGCCCTCCCTCCCAGTCCCAGTCCCCCAGCGGCTCCTGCCCGCTTCCCCTAATGGGGTGTCCCCCGCTTCGCACACACAGGTTGGCGGCTGGACCGTGGACCCCGTGTGCCTTCTCAGCTCCCTCTGCTCCCACCTCCATGGCGACTCCGCCCCCTCCGGGGCTGGCCAGCCGGCCCAGGTGAGTCACCCACCTCCACCCCACCCCCCAAGCCCATGGTGGAGTTTGGCTTTGGGGAGGATTTTTTTTTGGAGGGGGGATGTTCAGGATTTTTATTTTGCAACCTTTTCTCTTTGGTGTAGGAGCCCCTATTTTCAGGAGACTTCTATGCCCCGTACTCACATCTGCCTGATCGTCTAATCCCCTGCCACTACCTCCCCACGCCTGGTTGGCTTTGGAGCAGGAGTTTTTGTGGGAGGATACTCAGGATTTTTAAAAAAGTTTTTGTATCCCTTTCTCCTTTAAACAGGAGCCCCATGACCTTGCTCTGTGGGTTTCATGCCCTCCTCCCACTGAGGACCATCTTATTCCCCTCTCCACACCCTCCCTTTCCATTTCTGAGCAGACCCAGCCTTCCCCTGATGTCCCACCATCAAGACGTTCTGCATGAAGTCTCTCTCTCACCCTTCTTGCTAAGTTCATGGCTTAGTCTCTAGTTTTTAAGAGGACTTGGGCATCAAGCCATCTGTCCTGAACTTGTTCTCCTCTTCCTCATCAAGCTTCAGTGTCCCTTATGGGAGCATAGATCTTAGCTTAGACAGGGGAACATGTAGGCAGGATACTAGGGTCCTGGGTTCATGGCTAGGCCTGGACATTGCTATGGGAGAAAAATAGGCATCTGAGGCCCCAAATAGGCATCACAGTTGCATTGGGAAGGGGACAGCCCAGGGGAGGTCTTGGCTTGAGGCTGTTCAGCTGTAGGAGGCAGAGGAGGGGTAGTGGCAGGGAATCCAGTGGGAGCAGAGTGCTCAGGTTCTTACATACCCTGCTTCCCCCAGAGGACAAAAAGGCTTGGCTTTTTCAAGGGGAATTAAAAGAAAGAAAATTGTGACCACCTAGGAAGTGACAGGCCTTCAGAGGGAGGATGTTTTAGCCACGTGTAACTCAAGTCTAGTAACAGATTGGCACGCTTGGCATCACTCACAGGTCACTCAGCCCAATTTCATTCCCAGTTCTCAAGCCCCATCTTGGTTGAACTTTGGGGCCAAGATGGGGCTTGAGGGCAGAACAGGGATGTGTCTGCCCCCAAGGCTGGATGGCAAGTGGGACAGACTTGTCCTG